CCTGGGAGCTGCCGCTACTGTCTGTGGCATTGTGATTGGGGCAATGGCTGTGGCACAGGTGTTTTCTTCTGTTTATTTCAGTTCTTGGTCAAACAGATCATACATGCAGCCACTTGTTTTTAGTAGCATCATTCTTGTTGTGGGAAACACATTGTATGCACTGGCATATGATCTCAAGTCGATCACTATTCTTCTCGTTGGCCGCCTTTTTTGTGGGTAGGTCACCGCGAATCAGCCATTTAAATTTTGTCACTGGTTGTTTTTCTTCTGAACTTTGGGGAATCTATTTTTTGTATTCTAGGTTGGGTTCTGCAAGAGCAGTTAACAGGCGCTATATTACCGACTGCGTGCCATTAAAGTTACGAATGCAAGCTTCTGCTGGATTTGTTAGTGCAAGCGCGCTGGGAATGGCATGTGGTCCAGCTCTTGCTTGTTTTTTTCGAAGAGATTTCAAGATATCATCTATTACCTTTAATGAGGACACTTTGCCTGGTTGGACCATGGCTCTTGCATGGCTTGTTTATCTCGTATGGTTGTGCATTTGTTTCAAAGAGCCTCCTTCACTCGTGCCATCGGAACCTAATACTGGTTTGTCAACTAAACTTCTCATTTAGCATATGGTTGTGCATATTGATGGATTAACTTGTTATATCATATTATTTAGCTGTTTAATTGGCATATTGATTTTATTAGAGGAATGAATTGTTCCTTTGATGTAGGGAAAACTGTAAAACTTATTTTGGAGAACGGTTGTACACGACCACTACTTTTAAACGAACATGCTAAGCAAGAATGTGCTGACCAAGAATGTGATGACGATGACGATGACGATGACGATGAGGGATCTTCTAAAAGAAATCGCAAACCAGTCGATTCAATAATATCAGCTTATAAGTTACTTACACCGTCTGTCAAGGTCTAGTACATTCTTACCCTTCTTACTTTGATGCAATTTTCATTTGAGTTTTTAATCCTTTGATAAAGGACTGTTGTGTGAAGTGGTGAGCTCTGGTCATAGTATCAGTTTAGGCTTGGAATAAAAGTGCATGCACTGAGAGTGAGTTTGAGATGATTTTGAAACTAATATTTTCAGTTGACAAATGCATTCTCGAATCTATACATTGTTAGAAAATCAAGGATGATTGAGAGTGGAAAATAGATGAAGTTCACTTTCGGTGAGATCCCACATCGATTGGAGAGGGGAGCAAGTGCCAACGAGGATGCTAGGCTCTGAAGGGGGTGGATTGTGAGATGTTACATCGGTTGAGGAGAAGAACGAAACATTCTTTATAAGGGTGTGGAAACCTCTCCCTAGCAGACCTGTTTTAAAAACCTTGATGGGAAGCCCAAATAGGACAATATCTACTGGGAGTGGAATTGAGCTATTACAAATGGTATCAGAGCTAGACACCGGGCTATGTGCTAGTGAGGATGCTAAGAGGGGGATTGTGAAACCCCACAACGATTGGAGAGAGGAACGAGTGCCAGCGAGGACGTTGGGTCCTGAAAGGGGGGTGGATTGTGAGATCCCACGTCGATTGGAGAGAGGAACGAGTGCCAGCGAGGACGCTGGGTTCTGAACGAGGGTGGGGTGTGAGATGTCACATTGGTTGGAGAGGAGAACGAAATATTCTTTATAAGGGTATGTAAATCTCTCCTTAACAGCCACATTTTAAAACCTTGAGGGGAAGTCCAAAACGTTGCCCATAGAGGACAATATGGTCCATCTGTTACACTTTCTAATATTTGATATATTGTATGAATGGACAATATGAAAAATGACTTTATATAAGAATGTTGTAGACCTATGAGCGCTATGAAACCATTATATCTTATTTAACCATTTATATGCTCAATTGTATTTCATATGGACCTCCATTACCTTTTTAGTTTCTTTCTTTGGGTATCAAGTCAGTTCAAATGTTTGAGCTAAAATGATTACACATGATACTAAAATTTGGATGAACACGGTGTTGTGTGGCTTTAGGTGCAACTATTTGTATACTTTATGCTCAAATATGCAATGGAGATTGTACTTGCCGAATCAAGTGTAATCACTGGCTACTACTTTGTCTGGTCGACCACCAATGTTGCAGTCTTTCTCGCATGCCTTGGCTTGACAGTGCTCCCTGTAAACATCATTGTGGGGAGCTACCTCAGTAACTTATTTGAAGAAAGGTACCCCAAAACTTGAATTTACTTTACTTTACTTTACCTTACCTTGTTATTTACTGTTCTTTGATCTGATTAAAAGATTAAAAGTTTCATAAGTTAGTGTGATTTTGTTGTAGGCAACTTCTTCTTGCATCTGAAATTATGGTTTGCGTAGGCATAATTTTAAGCTTCCATACTTCGATTCCTTACTCAGTACCTCAATATGTGTGCTCAGCTCTAATCACCTTTGTTTCTGCTGAAATCCTTGAAGGTAATAATGTAGTCTCTTGAATCATCAAATTGTCAGAACAATGGTTCTAAGTCTTGAACTGATGCAGGTGTAAACTTGTCACTTCTCTCTCGAGTTATGTCGTCGAGACTTTCTCGTGGGACTTTTAATGGTGGTCTACTTTCCACTGAAGCTGGAACTATAGCTCGAGTCATCGCTGATGGCACGATAACGTTGTCGGGGTACTTTAGTGAAAGTAAGCTCTTGAATGTTACCTTACTTCCTTCACTTATTATTTGTGTCTATGCCATTGTAGCAACATGTTTTACCTACAACTCTCTTTACTAATCTTCTTCTTTTTTTTTTTTTTTTTTCTATTAGTTATGAAAAATTGTACCAACGTAAATAAGGAAAAAATTCTATACTTCTAGAAATAAACTTTTTGTTGTGTTTTTTACATTGTTTAAAATAGCAGTGGATTATACACCTAATGCAATTTATATTATTACTTTTGTAAATAATTTGATCAAATGAAATCTTTTAAAATATTTAATTCGGCGTATCTCTTCGTATTCACGCACATCTTTATTATTAGATCATGTCGTATAGCATACATAGTCGAACCCGCTTTGTAAATATTTGAAGAGCAAAATAAGAAAAAAAATATCCTTCAATTAAAATGAACTATTTATTACACAACAGTACATTATATATATATATATTCTCAAAACTTAATCGTAACAAGATGCAATGTTCGTAATGGTTGTTTTTTTAAACAACTTTTAAGTTCCTATGATTTTTTTTGTTTTTCCTTTCATATATTAAGCTTCACAATTTGTGTCTTATCAATACCTAATTCATGAAATTTCTCGTAGAGCACACACATACACCAAACATCATAAGTGTGCCTTAAAATTCAAGTATGACCTTTTTCTACGTAGATATAAAATCAGACCTATAATTTAGATCAGACAGAAAAAAAAAAAAAAAAAAATTGCGAGACAAAATCTAATTTTCATTTCCTATAAAGATAGTCGGCTTTTATTTAGGAATTGCACTATATTTACAAACAAAGAGTTAGGTAATGGGCTTGTTTCTCTCGAATCCGACTCCAAACACCTCTTGTATGTTCTTTTCTTGATAAAGAGGCGACCTTTGAAGATCGCCCACTTGATTCCTTTGCTTCCGATTCCCAAATCCGTGATTACATTGGAAGCCCACTTCAGTCTCTCTTCTACAGAGAGAGAGAAGAGAGAGAATTTCGGGAGCAACAAAAATGGCAGAAGAATTACTTGAAGGTACGGTTCAGAATCTACTGGATCAAGAGACTCTAAAATGGGTTTTTGTTGGCGGCAAAGGCGGTGTGGGAAAAACCACCTGCAGCTCCATCCTTTCGATTCTTCTCTCCCGTGTCAGATCCTCTGTTTTGATTATCTCCACCGACCCCGCTCACAATCTCAGCGATGCCTTTCAGCAGAGATTCACCAAGGCTCCCACCTTGGTTAATGGCTTCTCCAATCTCTATGCTATGGTCTGTCCTTTTTCTTTTGATTTTTGCTTTGGTTTGAATCTTGATGTGCTTATGAATTTGATTTGATATTCGTTTCTTTATTCGAGGGTTTTGCAAGTTTTGTGGATAATTTGGTGGCAGAAATGCTTAAAATCATGTCTGTATGCTATTGTTCTGGCTGCTTTCCTGTTGTACGCGTGTTTTTCGATTATTGTTGATGAGTTTATGCGCTTCATACTCTGGGCAATGCTGCTGGTATGTAGGAAGTGGATCCTACTGTGGAAAATGAAGAAGTCGGCGAGGGGATGGATGGCTTATTTTCCGAGCTAGCTAATGCTATTCCTGGAATTGATGAGGCAATGAGCTTTGCAGAGATGCTGAAGTAAGAAACATTTTCTTCATCTTTCAAACATCAATTTATGATTCTTACAATCTTGATATATAATGTACGATTTTCAAATGAAGTTTAAATGACAGTTCTAGAACTGTAAGTTTGAGTACTGGTATTGGTTTTGTCTGAAATGTTTATGTTGTTCTAAGTCATCATCTACCACTGCTAGGACTTTTTGTTGGTTGATTCTTGGAGGGTTGGGTGGGGCTGGGAGCTCTTTATAATCATGTTATGTCAATTCATTTAACATTGCCATGTTTAATGAATTGTTTATTTCCAGATTAGTACAAACAATGGATTATTCTGTAATTGTGTTCGACACTGCTCCAACTGGCCACACTCTTCGGCTGTTGCAATTTCCATCAACCTTAGAGAAGGGACTTTCAAAGATAATGTCTTTAAAAAGTAGATTTGGAGGCGTATTGAGTCAGGTATCAGTTCTAATTTGATAACAACGATTCTATTATTATCATTATTCGACATGAGCGTTTGATTTTTTGTTAATTTTTTTCAAGAAGTCGAAGCGTTTGCTGTATTAGTTTCATTTGTGCAATTTCAGTAATTAGCTAACCTGAAACTTTCTGCAACAGGTAACCCGGATGTTTGGAGTTGATGATGAGTTTGGTGAGGACGCAATTCTGGGAAGGCTGGAAGGCATGAGAGATGTGATCGAACAAGTTAATAGGCAATTCAAAGATCCTGTAAGAGCACTCGTTTTCTACTCGTTTGTTATTGTTATTATTATTATTATTATTTTTGTTTTATTGCCTACTAGCATTTTTCTAACCATTAACAAGTATCAGAAGAAGTGGTAGAAGTCTTATGTAATAGATGGGATACTTTAGGTTCTTTTAAGGGTTAGGTCCCATGAACTTGTGGGGTTCCATTCACCAGGATAACATGCCATCATCATAAATAACCACAAAAATTCCTTGTCCTAGGAACAAAATTCTCCATTGTTGACATTGACCTAGAATCGGACGATGAATATGCATCTAGCCCCCTACCTCTCTCCACCACCCCAACATCCCCCATTGCGAATAAGGCCAACACCTCTCACCCATGGCTAGAGATCACTCTTGCGGATACAGAGCTTGACACTCTTTTTCAAGAAAAGTAGAATGAAATAGAGGTAGAAAGGGGTCTTTTTCAAGAAAAGTAGAATGAAATAGAGGTAGAAAGGGTCACCCCGATATTAGAAACACTCACACCAATAATGGCCATCCAAATCTTGGCACCATGGCTAAAAGAACACCACATGTGCATCATGGCTATTTCATCGGGGAAAAAGAAGCCCACTACGGCCAAGAAATCGAGTAAACTAACTAGAGAGATTGACCAAAGGCCCAACTTTGATCATGGCTATTCCATCCGAGCATCTAAATCATGTGGAATGACCCAACTTTGATCATTTCAAAAGTCACCAAAGGCTTATACACCTTTAACCACACATATTACACGGGCTGATAATTACAGATTTTGGATTACAGGAATCTATGGTCCCTATAGATATTACGGAAGACATCTATTCTGGCAAGAATTACCGGACCTATCATGCCTATGTATAGAGAATTGGCTTTTGGCGGGTGACTTCAATATCTCTCGATGGGCACATGAAAAATCTAGTGGAAAAGTCCAGAGGCATGAGACACTTCAACAATTTCATAAGAGAAGCTGAACTAATCGACCTTCCCCTCAATAATGGACTCTATACATGGTCAAACAACATATTTTCACCCCCCTTGACACTCATCGCTAAATTCCTTGCCACAAAAGGCCTACTTAGAAAATTTACTAACGTCGGTGTTCAAAGACTGAATAGACCTACATCTGATTATTATCCCACCCTACTTTCCATGGGGTGCTCTAAATGGGGCCTTTCGCCCTTCCGATTCGAGAATATGTGGTTGAACCATTTTGAATTTTTGCAAATGGTAGAATATAGGTGGAAGAATACGCCCCTCTGTGGATGGTCGGGGCATGATTTCATCAACAAACTTTAAAGACTAAAAGAAGTCTCAAAGAAATGGAACAAGGAGGAATTGTATTTCCACAAAAAGAAACCAACTACTAATTGAAATTTCTCTCCTCGATCAGATGGAAGAAATTGGCTCAATTACACTAGTTCAACACATACCAAAAAAAAAAAAAAAAGAAAAATTCATGAAAGCAGAACTTATTATGTTGGCAGCAAAGGAAGAGTACTCTTGGAGACAAAAATGTAAAATGATGGTCAGAGGAGGGTGACACAAACTCCAAATTTTTTCATTATATCATGGCTACAAAGAAACATAAGAGTGCCATCATGGAAATTCTATCCACACAAGGCAGAAGTTTAGTAAACGAAGAAGAAGTTGTCTTAGAATTTTTGTCCTTTTACACGTCCTTACATACAAAGGTCAATGCCCTCCGCGAATTTCTCCACGATCTTGACTGGAGTCCTATTCATCAATAGAAAGCTGCCTCTCTCGAGGTTTTACTTTCATTGAAGAAGAGGTGGGAAGACGATTCAGCCTTTGGGCTCCAACAAAACTCCAGGATCGAATTATTTTACCTCAGATTTTTTTTTTTTTTTTTTTTTCAAAAATGTTGAAACTAGCTGATATCATGAGAGTATTCCAAGATTTGTTTTCGAAACGTAGTTATCTTGAACGAAACATACATGTCTGATCTTAAAGAAATTAGATGCCCGCATTGTTGCAGACTTTCGTCCCATAAGTCTCACGACCGGACTATATAAAATCATAGCAAGGGTATTATCATAATGTGTCTTAAAAAGGTTCTTCCCTTCACAATAATTGGGCAACAAACAACTTTTGTAGAGGGGAGACAAATCCTCGATGCATTACCCATGGAAAACGAACTCATAGATGAATGGGAAAGAAAGAAACAAAAAGGTGTAGTCATTAAACTTGACATGGTCGACTGGAAAACTTCTCCATCACATCAATGGAAGACCAAAAGGGAAGATTTTTGCCACACAGGGTCCGAGACAAGGAGATCCACTATCCCCTTTTCTTTTCATCATGGTAATGGATTGTCTCAGTTGCCTACTAACAAAAGCAGAATACGAAGGACAGCTAAAAGGATTTCAGATTGGTAACGAAGGTTTAAGCATAAGCCACCTTCCATTTGCGGACAACACAATTCTCTTTTCTAATTTGGCTTCTTCCATAATAAAACATGATTGAGACAGTAAAAACCTTCGAAGGATTCTCTGGACAAAATATCGATCTCCAAAAAACAGAGATCATAGGCATCAATATTAGCACAAAGACTATTGAAGAATTTGCTAGCATATATGGTTGTAAAAAGGGAGAATGGTCGAATATTTACCTAGGACTACCTCTAAAAGAAAACCACAATTCTTTTTCCTTCTAGAAGGTTATTATTGAAAAATTAGAAAGATGGTTGTCAACATGGTCATCATGTTCTACTTCAAAAGGCGGAAGACTCACCCTCGTATAGTCACATTATCCAACCTCCCCAATTACTACATGTCTTTGTTTGAAATGCCATAAAAAGTGGTTGCAGATATAGAAAGATTTTTCAGAAACTACTTTTGGAAAGATGACCCACGCCTTCTTCGATGGAATATTATAAACCTCCCCATAGAAAAGGGAGCCCTCGGTTTTCTCTCGATAAAGAAGAAGAACGAAGTTCTCTTCACCAAATGGTTATGGAGATATCATCACGAAGAAAAGGCCTTGTGGAGAAATCTTATAAAGGCCAACTATACTCCTCCATCAAACAAAAATCAACCCCTCCATCTTCCACAAAAGGGCTTTTGGAAGTACATAAAGAAATATCAAAACCACATCACCGACTGAACTTGCCATAGGGTGGGTGATGGAGGAAGCACATCATTTTGGACCGACCGATAGATTGAAAACACTAGGATAGCCCTGAGGTATCCACTTTTGTACAAACTCTCTCATAGCAAAAAAGGCACGATCAAAGAAATGTGGAGTGATGTCAACAAATTCTGGGACCTAAAGCTTAGTAGGAATTTAAAGGATAATGAAGCAACAGAACGGTTTGAATTAAGCCTTGACCTTGCCCCTGTGGATTGTCAAACAAAGCAGACTCATTGACTTGGCTCCCCAGTGCTGATGGGGTCTTTTCTACAAAATTCTTGATGATGGACGTGGTGGAAAAAGTAGAAGCAATAAATCCCACGCTAGCAAAGACGGTATGGAAAGGAAATCAGTCTAAAAAGGTAAAGTTCTTCCTCTAGGAAATAGCGCATAAAACCTTAACACAAGTGAAAATCTTCAAAAAAAAAAAAAAAAAAAAAAAAAAAAAAAAAAAAAAAAAAAAAAAAAAAAAAAAAAAAAAAAAAAAAAAAAAAAAAAAA